TTTTAGGATAGAACTCACTGTTTTTAGTTTTATTGAGGTATTTTTGTATCTCTAGCTTGTATGTTTTTTATGCCACAGTCACAAGAAACCACATTTAGGTGTTACGGCTTACCTTTTGGGCTTTCGACACGGCGAAAAAACCCCAGCAACAATATTTATCAAGGATCTATGAGTTTCAATGACTGCGAAGAGTAAATATAAGCACTGCTCAACAATTTAATTACAAATGAGCATATATTATGAATTTACTTTGTATACAGGGCCTTAAGTAAACTATGCATATTTCATACTGAGAATTTATGCTGAGTCATCATAGTAAAGGCCAAGGATTTATCAATCTTCATAAAATAATTATATAACTTTATATTTGAGTTAATTTCATTAAAACTCTGAAGATAAACCAGATTTGGTGAAATTCTACATGTTCTCAGATTCCACCCAATATAGGTTGCATTTCTGTAAATATCGACAATGCAATTTCCCATAGGAAGTCCTTTTACGGCTAAAACTGTATTACTTTTACTATGAAGTTTTGAAAAAAAGATATATCCTAGAATGGAAATTTCATATGCGCTACTATTTTTTTCATAGGTCAAAATATAGGGCTGTGCGGCATATTTTCAACGTTTATATGCCCCGAACTTCTAAGAGTTTAAACTTACACTAAAATTCTGTACTACCCCTACCTTGACTTTATGTTTTCCACAGATTTCAATTTGACCGCTATGCATATGTATATTTACTGGTAACATTCCAAAGTTATGTCTCTACGAGATGGAAAATAGAGATCATATCTGGGAACCAGTACGTAAACAAAATGAATTATCTATGAATATTATATATCTCCCCAAAAGAGGCGTGGTTTGTGAAACAGCTGTATTTACAAAGTGCAACCTAAAGACAAATACATGTAGGCTGTGATACCCTAACACAAACACACACAAGATAAACATACGCACAAACACAAAAACAGAACACCATAACCGCCATTATATTCCAGAAACTGCAAACTTATGACAAATGACTTAGTGAGAAATTATGATTGGAACCTATATAAAGCATTCGATCTTTTATGAAAAAGACTATATATGAAAACCAGATTATTTTATCTCCCCATAATGATAAAATGTTGGGAAAATTAACCAGAGTCATCTTGCAGTAATCATAAAGAGAGGCTAGCAAACATTTTTTTAAATTTGAGCTTAACTAAGGTTAAAACAATTGTCCATTAAAAATGCATTTTATTCAATTATAAGGACTTAGTTAGCCAAATCTACTAATTTTATTTGATTTTATAAATTTTTATGACAATAGATAAACATGCTACACAAATACTTACTGCTCTTATAGTATTATATTTATTTAACGAAAAATTTGGCACAACAGCTTAAACGTGACAGAAGAGCGGAGTATTTCAATTCAGGTAAAAGTAAGTAAGTGAAAAATAATATCCAAATGTAGTCTTTTTTGTATCCAAAAATAGATTGCTCTTTGTGTCAAGGAACATTATACAATATTTCAACCAGTTAACATTTAAACCACCTTATAATGGGATATGCAGGTGTTTTTACTTTTTTAAATTACGGTATTCATATTTAAATACCAGTTATACCTCGACATTAAACTTTCTTTCATAGATAACTTCATATTGGTGTCTCTAACACAAAAATGAACATTTTAAAACAAAAAGTTTAAAACAAGGTATTTGACTTTAAGCAAATTTAGAATACGATTAAAGATATAATTATAATAAAGGTTCTCAAAAATGTATTATGCTTCGGGGATTTCCCGGAAAGTTTTCTATATCTCAAGAAAGTAAAATGGCCTTCAGAAATTTGAATTTACAACTTTATTATTTATTTAAAATGTAAATTGGTAAACTTTAAATTAAGAACAAGACTTTTTTCCAGCTATCAAAATGCAGCTAGTTGCTTTGAATATTTTATTATAATAATATCAATAGTAAAATACCGAACAGCGGTTATCTATATCATATCGTCGGCTTTGTAAGGAGTTTTTTTATCTATCCCCTTCACCGATTGCGATTTAAAGAACAAATTTAGTTAAATTCATTATTTAAGAACTGTCGATACCATTTTTGCAAAGGACTATTAAACTTATATATATATAGTATAACATACTTTACGGACCCATGAGAAAAGGAAAAGAATGTGCCACAATTACACAGACAATCAATAGAATACAAAATATAGTAAGCGTGCGGTAGACAAATCATATGCCACAAACGCCCAGTCATTTTTAAATACTTTAAACATATTTATTTATAGTGGATTGGGAAACATGATATTACAACTTATATTAAACCCTTTCCCATTTGCTGGTGCGAGTGCTGCCTTGTAGCGGCATTAGCCTGCACCTTTTTCGAAATTTAGAACAGACCTGGGGTGATTAAAAATGTATTTGTAATTAGCTGTAATTAATAACAATTTTGAAAGTAATTCAATGTTATGTGTAATTGAGCTTATTTTCAATTACATGTAATTGAAAGTAATGAATTTCATTGCCATTTTGCCATGTAATTATTAATTACTTTTCAATTACTTTGAATTACATTTAAATAAAAAATATAACATTCCTCAAGATATTTTAATTATCATTATAGCATGTACAATAATCTTTATTTGTATTTAATTCATTAATTTTTCACATGTTTACATAAAAAATATAAAAATTAAAAACAATACCAATTTAATAACATACAATTTGTAAATATGTTGTTCTAACAATTAACAATAATCTTAGCCTCAGGTTATTCCTTTCACTTAACTAGTTATTAAGTACAACTTTGTTCCTTGATTAAAATGTCAAAGGCAATGCTTTTTGAACCATCATATTTATATGTCAAAATCTGTACAGATGGATATTATTTATCATGTTTATACACTTACAATTTTAAATACAATAGTCAAAACATATAAGAATGGAGTCCAATATACTTGACAATTTTGACTTGTTATAAAACAAGTCTTGACAATGCTACCATTACTCTTCTGTAATAAATAGAAGCTTTAAAGTAACTTCAAATTTCACATGAGGTACATAAAAAAACCTTTAAAATATAAATTAACATTTTAGTAGAAACTTGAAATTTTAAGAAGAAATTCTTAAGAATAAGAAATATATCAATCTGGATCTTTATATATATATATATATATATATATATATATATATAAATATAAATCTTTATAAATTGTTTTCCTTTAAAAATAAGAAATGCATTCAAATAATCAGCATTGAAAATCTAATTGTCATTAAATGTAACAATGACATTAGAAATTTGAAAGTTTTTTTTTTTTTTTAAATCTTGTTCAAATGATTTCGTTCTTTAAAAGTGAAAGTACCAGTATATATACAAGTTCATTCTATTCTAGCCTGTTGTCATTTTCATGATTTTTTTCTAATTGATATCGCTCTTACGTGTCTGTTGATAAAAGTAATTGAAATGTAATTAATTACATTGGCAATGTAAAAGTAATGTAATTAATTACATTGGCAATGTAAATGTAATGTAATTAATTACATTTGAAAATCAATGTAATTGAAAAATAACTAATTACTTTAGCATGTAATTGAACCCAGGTCTGATTTACAAGGATGTCTTTTACGTGCAAGAGATATTGCTTTCTGTAAATACGGGTCAGCCATTTATCGTCCCCTTCCGACGCACTATCATCGTTTCTCAAGACCATACTCAAATGGTGTCAAGGGAGAGCCGAAAATTCAGTCCTTGAAATTTTCTCCCCGGAACGGATATCGAACCAGGAACCTTTGTGTTTGTAGTCCGATGCCTTTACTACTACACAACGGCTCTCCTTTGGGATGAACTCCATTATCTCAAAGGTATTGGTATCATACGGTGTTTGGTATGTAAAATATTAAAATGAAACATTTGACAGACTCTTTTTCATTATCTATTTATACTCTTGTTATTCCTTTCCTCCTGACATAGGTCTGTTTTTGTAAATATCATTTTAAAAGTCACATTAATATGATGTGTTTAAAAAAAACATTCCAACTGAATCTGTTGCAAAATGTCAGTTTCACAGGTCGTATGATTTTGAATGAAATTGCTAATTTTATTTTAAATTCTGAATCGAAATGCACAATTGACTGTTGTTTTGCTTAAGTAGTATATGTTTAGTAAAAAGGTCGATATGCGCCTCTGTGTATAAATGAGCATGGATAAATACAATGAAATTATAATTTATATTATAAACATCAGACAAATTTTAACCGTAAAATACTGCATAGTTTTAGTTAGGTATTAGCGCGTTTATTAGACATTATCAGTATTTAAATTCAATACAAATCAAAGCGCAATAAGACGCTGACTGATACATTTTTATAAGTTAGGTTAATCTACGAATCATTCAAAAGGCACTGCATTGCATATTATCAACTTGAAGTGCACATTGAAAGAATGCTCTGATTTATAAAAACAAATATTCACATAGAATTACACTCAAATACCGAAACGATTTCATTGATGCAAACAATTCAATTCATTTTCATCCTTTTAAATGTAAAGGCATTTAAACTATTGAATATTGTACTTTCAAAATTAAATACACGTAATAAAATTACAAAAAAGATATGTATTGACTTTTTCGTGCATACTATTGAAAGTAATGTATGTTCCGTTTCTATAATTGAAAACATGTCGAGGCTCAAATCAGATGTTATATAATCTGAATGTCATAATGTAAAATTGTAGATTCAAAACATATTCAAACTTCAAAATATTTATGATTTTTCTTTTAAATTTCTCATGTTGTGTTAACATCAACAACCATCTCAGCCAGTGCCAGAGGCCTTAACTATTAATTTTTATTAAACGTCAATTACAATTCAAACCTCTACTTGTTATGACGACCATTTTTTAAAATTAAAATAATTATGAATTATCCCCCAGATGTTTATGGAAATTATGAAATGCAATGCATTATGTATGCATTACAAGTATAATTGAGAGCAAAACCTCTGAAAAAATATATTTATTGAAAACGAATAAAGCAGAATGTGAGGTTTCCATGACATACATCTTATACTACAGTGTATCGTTGTACTGTAACATCAATACTTTACCAGTCATTCGTGCCAATGATTTATGAATTTAGCGATGTCTAAGGCATATTAGGGTCGGACAGAAGCCAATCACCTCATGTTATTCATTAATGGTCTGTTCATTTTCAAATATGACATTACGGGTTAAATTCTAAATAAAGTTTTCATTTGTTCGACTTGAAAACCCATCTTTAAAAATTCATCCAACATTCTTTTTGTAATTTTGTATTTCATTCTTAATGCACCAGTATCGCATCCGTCGTTATCACTTGAAAGTTCTAAAGCTTTCATCAAAAAACTATAGGGTGTAGATAGCAATAAAATATTTTTCTGTTCACGAGTTTGTATTTCTGAAGTCTTTTTCAATAATCTTAAAACGGACTGTGTCTCGTCTCGATGTCCTTGCTGAAAACTGTATAAAAATCTGAGATAATAAAATAATAATAGCAACTGACTTGTGCCCACCATTTCAATTCCAAATAAATGATCATAACTTACACATTGGAAAGGGCCAGCCGTGAAGTTGTCATAATCTAATTGGTGTATTCTTGCAATTTCGAATTTTATTCTCTTTACAAATCAACTGCTACTTATCATTCTTTTCATTTTCGACACATCTTTAAAAGAAGGTACGCTTCCACGGTTTTGAATAAAGTCTGTGTACAAAGATAATAAATTAGATAAGAATTTTAATATAGATAACATATTTTTATATTCCTGTGTCGAGTAAAAGAATGCTGCAAGAAGTAGCCATCCATACCCGGCTCTGTAGAATGTATTTATCAACCCGTGTGTGATAAAGCGTTTGTACTGATAATAGTAACATTTGTTTTTGTCATTCGAAGTTTTAACCGAATTCAGTATCCGCTTATTCTCTACTAGGAAGATCAGTGCACATATATTTCTTGCAGAACGTGGAAGACGTTTGTGTATTATCCTATACATCACCGAATACAATTTGGAGTCGCCCATCAAACTCAAACTAAGAATTAGACAACATCCCATCGGTAATACAGCTTTATCTAATGCATGTAAACATTCGAATTGTCTATTAAAGTTAACTGATATAAGTGTCAAGAAATTGCAAAGTGACGGAGCTGTAAAAATCATTTTCCAATTTCCACGGGTTTTGTCTAAAAAGGATGAAAGAAAAGCAAGAATAGCATGTGTGTGTTTTCAATGAATCATGTTTTGTTCAGGTATAAAGAAATTAGGGATATATTCACATATTATCCAATATTGAAGACGCTTGAGGCATACAAGAAAACAATGCAACAGGTTTTGTGGAATCCAATTTAAATTTTCGCTTTCCTCTACTATCCAAAACATCAGGGTTTTCATGTGATACGAACATAACGTTTTATTGAGAACGTTATCTTCGTTAACTATTTCTTTCAACCAAATTTTCAACAATGAGTAATAAAGCAACTGACAATGATTAAGTGAGTAAACTAATAATTTTTCTACAAGGGAAAAAGAAAATCTCCATTCTAAAGGATTACCTTCACCACATGCAGACTTGCTGCCGACCGGCACTAACAAAATACCTTGCAAAAGTGCATTTGAAATGATGTACTCAGAAGGCCATCCTGTTGGTCTATATCTAGATAACCATTGCCTAGCCACCGATTGCCATGCATGACATCTAATGCAAATCACGTTGTCAATATCCATCAACCTTGGGATACAAAAACTTGGTCCATGGACTTCATACAAAGATTCCATTGAACCTAAGCTGTCAAAAAGAAAATCAAACAAATCTCTATTGGATAAATATTTCCCATTCATAGTTCTTGTCGGATAAAATGGACTGGACAAATCATGTACTACCTTCAGCATTGTAAAACCCAGAGCAGCATTTTCAGTGTCAAGAATTAAAACGCCTTTCCTGTCTCTCGGTTTATCCTCATAGCCTTCATATTCTTTCATAAGTATCATCATATCAAAATCACTGCCTGGAAGGTCTAATCCTTCAGCCTTGCTCCCGCTGCTAATGATGGAGTACTGTTTTTCATTTGAAATGTCATCTAGCAGTTTATATAGCAATCTTCTTTTTCTTACAGTTTTTTCAGAACCAACTACTGCGTCGCACATGTACTGGTATAGTCTAATGGAGTACGCTTCCATTTCCAGTGTGTTTTGCATCATTACAGAAATCTGTTTAATACAAAAAATCGATATAAATAACACTGATCGATGTATCATGTGGACAATCTTGTTTAAAGATTTATAGATATATTTCTTTGATGCGGCGGCATTGTAATTAACATTATCATCCTTTACGACAAACAAAATAGCTAATCTGAAATGTAAACATTCTACTTGCTTTTATACACCATTTTCTGTGTTACAACCCTGTGATAATTCAAACGATAATGACAATAAAATAGAAACGGTATTGTTTTACTGAACAGTGATATATATCATTTGAATCTATACAAATATAACAAAATGACATGCATCATTTTGTTTAAGTATTGGATAGTAACAACGTGGAATAAGAAATGAAAGCATACGTATATTAACTCATCAATTACAAAGGCAACTCAATCCTGCAGTGTTGTTTAAAAAATGCAACGCTTTGATGTGTTATTGACAGCCATCCCTAATAAAATTATTGACACAAGAAATATAAACTTAAAGTGCAAAACAAATTAATTAACAATTGGTAAATTGGTAAATATTCCACTAAATACACTTCGCTTACCTTTATCTTGATAAATGTATTACCAAAATGGTGGACAAAAGTGTTCGATTAAGTTTTATTTTTATCTTATTGCGTAATCTATTAAATACATTTAAATATCAGCATTGTTGGCAACATGTCAAATTTCAGAACGATTTAAAGTCTAACTTTGTGCAGGATATCATCATTGTGAAGTCCTTGATTATGACTTGCTATTATTTCAAATAAAAAATGGTTATAAACATGTCAAAATAAGAAAATAGTTCAAAACTGATATGGATTTGAATATTCACGCGATTCCTCTTAAACAAAAGAGCAAAATTATAAAATTATTTTTACTTATATGATGCTGAATCCATTCCACGACAGTCCTCAAATGTTCTACGTCATGGAAGAAAGTCATTACTCAATACATTCGTTTGTTACAATAAATTCAACAATAATAACATCAAATATATATATCAGAGTCCTACAATAAACAAGGATGTGATATTCCCTAACAACCTGTGACAAAACCCATGTTATTAATTCTAGTGTGTTATAATCTCCTTTCAAATCTATGATTATTGCAAAAAGTAAAATAACAAAAGTACCGAACTCCGAGGAAATTCTAAACAGCAAGTCCTTTAGCAAATGGCAAAATCAAAAGCTCAAACACATCAAACGAATGGATAACAACTGTCAATTAACAAATTTCGTCTTATTGGATACTGAACGTCACGAAGACCCTAGATATACAAGATATACAATAATCTAATCGGATTTCCTAACACAATATTTGTATATTATTCAACCAAACCATAACACAGATGTTGCTACGATAAACAAGTATTGTATCTCAAGTGACCATATAATGGAAAGAAACTACATATACTTGAAAATGAATAATACAGGCATGTTACTAACATAAGACATTAGTTGTCCAGTTTTTCTACCTTCATCCCATACATGTTTTATCATGCAACATCGTATAATGTTATAACTAAGTACACCGGACACTCTATAACAAATTCGTACCCGTTGAACGCTTTTCATTAGATTTTCAAAAGTTATTTCATTTTCAGAAGAAAAAAAATTTACTCACAAAGTACAAAACAACAATTCCTTTTCATGTAAATAACTAATCGTAATATCAATACGTAAGATCAATATTAGAAAGAATAAAGATAGAGCGTACTGTTCATCCATAAAGTTATCATTTAATCCGATTTTGTTCATTCTTTTTCGCTTGTAGTCATTGTAGTACTTGTCAGTAGGTTTTCAAGGAAATGATGATATCATTTTATATATTATTTTCTTGGGATTATAGTTATTGCACATGGTCGAATTGAAATGTTTTTAACCACACAATTGAACGGTTCTTACCTTTGGAACAATATAGATACATGAATTGGTGCCTAAGTTCTACTGGTATTAATAACATTACTGATAACAACGAGTATATGTAATCACAACTTGAATTATGTTATGTACTCTACTAGCATGACATGCCCAGCCAAACATTTTAAGCACTAGTTGATACAACACATTTCTCTAATTCTTAGTCGATTTATCACTTTCCTGACCTGTTGATTATTTTTTTTTTTATCAACGTGTGGTCCGTTTGATCTCAGTTCTTCATTGGTCAAAATTCGTTTATGACGTCAAATTTTCTTGCTTTCCTCTGAAATTCCTATAATGACGTCATGAAATAAGGCAATCATGCCTGATGACGTCACGCAGAAAGATCATTAGAGAAACAGATTCCACCACTGAATCGAGTGGGATACGATATTTATTCACTCGAGAGAGTTAAATCTTCAAATTTAAGACGCGAGGCCGAGTGTATTGTAAAAAAATTGGAATGCATGAAATACGGTATCAAATTTGTGTCACTGTATACTTTGATCAGTGTTCCTTTTTTATTTATATGACACTTAATGTATATTCAAACTCCATATTTGTTGGTCTATCATAGTTATTATACACACAAGTATAGATTAAAATAAAATCAAGTACAAATAAAATCATTAGTATACAAATATTAACAAATGTCAGTAAATATAAATTGTGGAATCACTGGCAGAACGAAACAAGTCCTGAACAGGTTCTAATGAGGTCGTCCGATTTACATTAAATCATTACGAATTTATCATATATAATTGTCTTTGATACTTTGATCAATTGCAATAAATTTATTTCAATCTTAACGATTCATTTGAAAAAAGGTCATCTAAATTCGTTTCGTTTTTATGTCAGGTGACATATTTTCAACACACTAATTTTCTGCTTGGAAGATAAACGAAGGTGTTAATTGCCGGTCACCATAAACATGTCATTTTAACTGTTATACAAACAGGTATGTTTACTCCGCTTTAATATATTTAAAAAATGATAAGGTTACATTACAAAAACATCCGTTTTGAAGTTTTATAAATTGGTCTGCAACATTCGAAAATTCTTTTTTAACCGATTATTCGAATCAACTTATTCGACTCTTCAGAGGTAATTTTGCATTGATCAAACGGGAAATTTCCCTGGACAGAGAAATAGTTCGACTCATCCGTGTTTTTGACAACCGAGTTCAACACAACGAAGTTCGACTGTATATTAATGAGGCAACAATCAAACAATTCAAAACACCACAAGACAATTAGAGATTATCGTGCAGTCTTTGAAATGAAAATATTTTAGCTAGGTGCGCATTCCGGTTCCAACTCTCTTTCCGTTTCATATAATTAACACTTTGTTTTAAACAATCATAAGGTACATTTGTCACCTCCGAGTTTTTCGGACATGAGATAGGCAGGTGTGCATTACCATAACTTTTTGTTACTTCAACACTGGCTTTTAATCCATTCAGAAGAAGACTTAAAGTTACATGAACGTAATTGAAATAACAATATGTACACCTACATGTAAACATTCATACGAATGGTTCGTTTTACTAATACTAAAATACACCCGCGGGTGATTGACTGAATTTTAGCACCTTTTTAGCCTGGGTCCGGTAACAAGAAATTTTATTAAGAGAGATCGTAAGTATTGAATTAGGGGGAAGATAAGAAAATCCTAAGATCATTCAAAGAGTGTAAATCAATGCTCCCTCAGGTTTGTCGTAGATCGGTCTTATTTTCCCCTTAAGTTGCATCGTAATAGTTTTCAAGGTACGAGTTCTTAATAATTTTCCGGCGTCTTCGTGTTAGGTTCCTCGCAAAGAAATTAGAATCGCCTTAAATGAATCAAACAAACAATTTAATGAACGATAAAATGCGCACAATAATCAACAACCCATTTAACCTAAGGAAAACAATTCTAACAACAGCATGGCTCAGAATAAAAAATCGAAAGGGAAACAGCCCGCCAAGCCAAGAAAACCAATCTTTAATTCTGATAAGTGAGAGATACTAGTCGACGAGATTGAAAAGAACAAAATCATCCTCCTGGGCAAACTCACAGATACAGTAACAAACGAGAGGAAGAAAAAGTTGTGGGGCACAATAGCGGCCATAGTGCAGTGGGGGCCATAAGAGATCGTCCGATGATATGAGAAAAAAGTGGCAAGATTGGTCCAGCCAAACAAAAGGGAGAAAAGCCAAGCAACTAAGGGAAAGTACTGCAACGGTGGTGGACTCAAAGTTGTAAAACATTTTATACCACTTAAAGAAAGAGTTTGAGACATCATGGGTGCAACTTCTATAGAAGGGCTTCCTAAAGGGCTAGATTCATTTCTTCCTCAAACCACAGACACCAATAATATAGATACAAGGTCAGTAAATCTTAGTTGTCATGAAAAACTTGATTTTGATGAGGATGAAACATATTCCATTGAACTTGAAGGTAAGGATGCATCAACATCCCACGAAGATCTAAATGAATCTGCAGTAGCTGAGAGAACGGAGAGAGAAAAGGAATTGATTACCAACTTCAGCAAGTAGTCCGTGAGGGAGAGAAAAGAAGGAGAGAAAAACAATCTCAAGAATGTTTGGATAATAAAAGATAATGTGTTAATAAAGTGCGAACACATTCAGGGACAACAAGTACATTCAAACAAAACAAAATGATTAGTATTGATGATGACGATTTGAGATAAGAAACACAAAGTGTTATTAAGGTTAAAAATGATATGCTCAGTATAGAGAAGGACAGATTGGAGGTAGAAAAAAAGCGATTAGAAATTGAAAAAGAACACTTGAATGTTGACAAAGATAGACTTCAAGTTGAGAGTACTATCGATGAAAAATTATCAAAGCTTGTAGAAAAATATGATTCCAAGGTTGAAGATGAATATGTTAAACCTGTTTATACAGACATCAGACAGCTTTCATTATTCTGGAAGTGTTCCACAACTTTTTACATTGTGCAATGAAGTAAGTCTGACCTAAGAAAATACACATGTTTGAGATTATGTCTGTTAACATTATTATATATGCAATAGGTCTAAACCATTTATTAGGTCTTTCCACTTTTCTTTGGAAAGAC